ATCAGCCAGATCAGCCGCAGGTGGACACCATCCACAGGGGTGCGTGGGCCAAGAGTGAGAGCCCGTAATGAGCTCCACCCAGGCAGAGAGGAGGAGGAGAGACAAAAAACTAAAACTAACAACAACAAAACCTGTAGCCAGCGTGGGCCAACCAGAGAGACACGGGGACCGTGACACTAAGCATCTGGTCAGGATGCCTCCGGGATGCCTCCTACTTCAGGTGTTCCAGGCATGTCAATCTGGGAGGAAGCGATGGAGCATACCCAGGAGAAACAGGAGGAATAACATCTGTTGGTTTGACTTGAGAACTAGAGGAGGGTCTGAGGTTCTGTGCTTAGATTGTCCATGTGACCCGATGGATGGATGGAAATTCAAAGCAAAGTATTAATCAAATTAGCAGTAATTTGATGATTTAATAAGAAGCATTCAGTGTTTCTGTTACAAGGTGGCTTAGGTGGGCTTGTGTGTGTGTTTTGTCTGAAGGCAGTTCATTTCAGTTAACAAGGGTCACATGGTTTCAATTTGCAGCTTTTATTGGCTGATAAACACGCAGATGTGATAAATTTACTCTGACACTCAGGCTCTGTGTGTGTGTGTGTTTAGATATTTAACAGTGTAACATGAGCACACTCCTGTTTCTATAAAGATAATAAGATCAGATTACTTTTCCTGTATTTAAATTCCCTCATTTGACTGCTCGCATCTCTTTCTTCATCTCTGATCTTTTGCTTTTTCTTCCTCCCTCTCCCTCTGCTTTCCCCCTCTTCTTTAAATTCAGTGTTATTGATCATAACCAAACTGACTTGAATGTGATCGCGCCCTCCGAGTCTGTTTCAGTGCAACAGCACACACTGCAGGCCAGTGTTGGCATTACACCCCAAAAGGGTTCATTTTCTGTCAGTTTTCTTGCTGTCAGGCCTTTAAAAGCCGAGAATTAAAGTCATTTAAACTCAAATACTATGTTTTAGACATTTCATATTTAATAGGTGTTTGATTCAGGAACAAGTGATGCTGAGAAAAAAGAGTTACTGGAGGAGAAAACGAAGAAATTAAGTGAAGTGATGTGATTATCCCAGCTGAGAGGCAGGAGGCAGAGTCACCCTGGACCCTGTGTGAGTCTATCACAGATCATATGATTACAAATTTAGATATTTATTCTGAGTTGTTGTAGTTTTGATCATTTATGAACCTTTATTGCTGTTGTTTACAAGTAGGATGCTGCAAACCTAAAGAAACCAGGTCGCTGTACATGTGGTAAGAACTTGTTTGGATTTGGGTTTTTTGTTTATTTTATTTTCCTCATGTTTCAACTCACCAAAGCGTCCACCCGGTTACCAGAAGTTACCAGAAGTCTGTGGTGACTCAAATCTAAAAACGAAGGCCAGACATTTGTATTCAAACCATCAGCAGCTTAGAGGAATAACAACAATAATCTGGCATTGTGGATCGGAGCTGAAAGTGAAACCGGCCGGACCACACACACACACACCCTCAGCTCCTTCCTGCAGCGAGTCCAAGTCAAGCTTTGGATGGAGCTGATGGCTGTTACCCGAAAGCATGAGTCATCATGGACGACAGATCGAAGTAAAAACAAACATACTGAAGTTCTTCCACTCTGACGCATCCTGCTGCTGCTGGTCAGACACAAAACAGCAGCTTTGCCACATCAAGGCTTCGGTGGCTGTTGGGCTCAAGCTGCTTTTAGAGCCTCATGGCCACCAGGGAGCTGATTTCTTCTTGCAGGATATCTTTGCCATGCTACTGTCACGCCGTTTGGACCAGCTTTTAGCTTCATGTGGTGATCATTAAACTGATATTTATGTTGCAAACGGGATGAAAAATCTTTAATTTTGTATTTTAAATTAATCTGAGGTTCATCCAAAAGAACAGGCCCTCAAACGCTGTTTTCTCTAAATTATATCTTTTAAATATAACTATATGTAAGCTTTTATTTATTATCAATAACGTGTGCAGATTTCTTCAGTGAAAAGACTGCATCCTTAAGGTTTGGGTTTAACATAAACACAGTTTAGTTAATGTGTAGAAAATGTTTCCTATGTTTTGTTTGGAAAAAAGCACATTTTTAGAAGAAACTGTTGATAAGTTGCAGTCACGCATAAGCCTCAACACAGTACTGCAGTACAGCACTTTGCGTGAGTGGACTCGGTCTTCGTTTGTAATTTCTTTATCTTTAAAAAGAAAGTAAGAAAAAGTGCTGGGCTGAAAGTCAGGAGTGCAGTTTCACATTTCAGCCACCAGAGGGGGTTTATCTTCAGCACATTGACGCACCAGAAAGTGACAGTGTCACAAAGTATCAAGTTTATTAATGTACTTTTAGAAAAACATCAGCAAATAAAAGAGATTTTACTAAAACAGGATAAAATCAATAAAGTCTGCTGGAGCAGAAAACTTGGAGCTTTGATGATGGGAAAACAGACAGAAATGCACCACTCTGGGCTGGAAATTTACAAAGATTTTTTCCTCCCTGCTGATTCATAACTGTCACATGTTAGTCAGACTCCAACCTGTAGTTAGTTGTTTATTACTTTGACCTCAAAATATGACAACAAACACAATGGAAAATCACCAGCAGTAAGCACTCCGGTAGATGTTTATCTTCATCTGCTAGGCTCATTTGAACTTTCAGCTTCTTTGGCAGGATGGTGCAAAAACTGCCTGACAACATAGAGACTCGCAACAGCTGTAAAAGTTTTAGAAATAAGAAGCTTGTGAAGAATGTGAGATCTGAGGCCAAATTCTTGAAACGCTGAGAAAAACAACTCAGTACTCAGGAACAAAAATGTTACCAACGTTAAAATAAAGGTTATTTAAATGTGTTGCTATTTATTTTGTTCATCAATCACGTGAATTGTTAATAATATGGACTCAGCGAGTTGTTTCTGTACAAAAATCTTTATGCTGGCCCCAAGGTGCACAACACAGCGAGAAAATGGTAAACACAAGATGTACACTGCTCTGCCAAGAAAGAAAAGTCTGCCTGGATTTAAGAGCTTTCCACTGGATTACTACTGCAGTCATTAATATATTTCTGCTGGCAAAAGCTTATTTAATGCTAACAGATGCTGTGAGAACTTCTTTCTTTTGTTAGACAACCATGTTGGAGGATGTATCGAAGGGATGTGGAGAAGATGTTACACTTTTTTTTAAACAACGAAGGCCATTTCTGAAACTGCAAAAACTGGACAATGATAAAAATCATGAAAAATAAAATAAAAATCTTTAATGATCATTTAAATATTTAGTGAAATCAAATCATAAAAAATGATAATAGAGCTCATGGCAAAGTTTAATAACCAAGTTAAGAGCGCTTCCACAGGCAGTGTGAAGAGAAAATCAGGGGATTGGCATTAAAAGGCTGTACAGCCTTAAGGAAACCACCGATCAGTGATGCTAACTGAGAAAACAAAAGGACAGGGAGCAAGCAGACTGGGCTCAGGAGCAATGGGAAAAGGTCATGTTATCTGGCGAGCGCATATTTAGCTCCAGAGGGATGGGTGCTAGGGCTGTGCCATATTCACACTAGAGGCACAACACAGGCACGTCTCACAGTGAGAGAGGCCTCTGAGTAAAAAAGAAAGCTACTTCAACAACCACCAACAAAATACAGTACGCTGCAAAATATGGAGGAAAAGTTGAGGCAAAAAATACATGGTTGAAGGCACGTGAGGAGCAGATGCTAGCAATCAAAAGGAAACAAAGTCAAGCTAGCATGGCTGGAGCTAGCTCCACTCTATAAGATTGGAAGAGCAAGAAGCAGATGGAAATTTCTAAGCAAGGTCAGGTTGAAATTATTTTTCAATTTTATTTTATTGTTCACCTTCTGAAGATTTACAAGGTTCAGTTATGTTAGCACTGTTAAGCTAATTATTTAAGCTATTTCCCTGCCTGGGCTACTTTTGTACCTAGATCTGACTAAGGTTGTGGCACAGTATGTAAGGCTACTATTGGACTATAATGCCACTGCAGCTTGGTGCTGGCACATTAACTAATCAACCATCAGTAACAGTAGCTCAATGGAAAAGAAGGAAAATGCCCTTTGTTTTGTTTGCACTCATAAATGCTGCTGTCTGAGATCAAATGTAATTCAGACACAAATATCATTATCACAAATGTCCTTTAAAAATGAAATTTTGAGGTTATATCAATCATCATTGGGATGAAGTAGCATGCCTAGTGCCAACAGTAGAGACCTGTGAGGGGAGTCTTATGATGTGAGGTTGAGTTCAGTTGGTCAGGTCTACGTTTATCAATGATTTATGTTCAAACGGTGAGGCCAGCTGACTGCCTGAATGTGCTGAATGACCAGGTTCTGCCTGCCCTGATGGTGCAGGCATCTTACCAGATGACAATGGCAGCATGAGGCATCATTTTCACACATGGATTGGTCACAACAGAGTCCAGACCATAACCCCATCTTTGACATGTGCTGAAGAACCTTTTGTGCAGCCATCTGACCGCACTCACGATCAATACACAGCCATGGAGAAAAATGAAGGCCAATCTGAAGGGAAATAAGTGTAACAATGCACTGAATAACTTTTCAGTTTTTTTTAGTTTATGTTTTCTGCTGCTTTTAAAACTGTTTTTGTTCTTTTTGCAGTTTTTTCTGTTCTTTCTGTTTCATCTTCCCTCTCTTTTTTATTGTAGTTGAGCTCATCTTGGTTTTTTTTTTCCATTACTTTAAGTTTTGTGTTTTCTGCTTTTTTCTGTTTGGCACCTTGGGGCCACCATAGCTTCAGGGTACCACAGTCAGTCATAGCATGAAAATGCCTGCTTGTAATTTATGCAGCGTCGCTGCATTAAAGTGGAGCTTTTAAGGAGGGAACAATGTAAACACAGGTCTACCGAACACAAACCACATCTTAGTTTCTTTTGGTTGTTCACATTCCTGAGAAGGGCTCACATTTCAGACAGTCGTGCTTTGCTCACATTTAGTGGTGCCAACGTGCAAAGGTGCTCAGTGCAATTTTTAAAATCGGCTACTTCTAAAAACGTTAAACTTCCCTTCTCACATATTTGTTGTTTGCTGAGTGCAACAAAGCTACAAAGCTCTCAAGTCTGCAACGTGAGTGACACTTTTGTCACTATTTCCCATTTCCCCCCCTTTATTTCTCCTCTTTGGCTGTCAGAGGTTCCTCAGATTGGAGCGCTTCATCAGAGCCAACAGAGTCGCCGTCACCGCTGTCGGCGTCCTCGTCTTTCTCCTCCATCTCGTTGGTCACGTATTCGCCTTTATGTCTGGACAGGCACCACATCAGCACGGCGATGACGCAGATCATTAACAACAGCACTACACTTACGATTCCTGTGACGACAGAGGGAAATATCATCACAGAGCCCCCAACTATGCATTTAAAGCATCACTTTCATTGCAATTCAACATAGAATTCAATATCCTGCCTATGGAGTCTGCTGTGTCTCTATTTTTACTTTTCACTTATAAAGCGAAGTTCATGTATTTCATGAACTGATATCTGTAATGAACTGACATAAAAACCTGATACATATTATTAACTGACATTTGCATTTAGTGAACATTTCTGCTGGAGTAACAATTATAACAAGAAAGAAAAACTAATAAAATAAAAACTTCTTTTAGAAATCCAAATTTAGAAACTTTAACACATTAAAGAACACTTCAATTTTATATCCCACTATTAGTAAAAACTTCATTAACTGAAACAAAAAATTCTGGAGAATACGAGACCTGTAAAAAATTTTCTTTTAACAAATTAGAACCAAATTTAATCAATTACTAAAATTATAGATTAAAGAGGTAATTACATTTCCAAATATGTTCTTCTATTTCCTTATTTATCCCTTAGATTTAATAATTAAATAAATCTACATGTACAGTTTAGTCTTTAAAATTTTCATTTTATATTTAAAGCTATTAGTATTATTATATTGGTCGATGATTATTTTATCACATTCCTGACTACATATGATTTGGTCGTTGGAAATAAGATTTGAAAATCATTAATCCGTACAGAACAAGTTATTAAGCAGAACATCTTTTTCATTCATGTGAACTGAAATAAAATTCAGCAGATTCACACTCATTGTTGAACATCATAAGAAAAGAAGTCACTTCTCACCACCAATCAAAGCGGCAAAATCTCCAGTGTCATAGGTTTCTGTAAAGACATGAAAATTAAGTCAAACTTGGGTGACGTTTGATATCTAAATCAAATGACATACAGTAGAGGTTAAAATACAAACTTCTGTGTCAGATTCATCTTGTAGAAAAGCTACAGAGGTCCAGATAAAAGTCAGTGACAAAGGCAAGGTGAAATTTTGAATCATTCTCTCAATCTACAGCCTCCTCGCTCATGTACTGTCACAAGCAGCAGCTCACAATATTAAGTTATCTGGGGGACACAAACAGCTGTTTGTGTTTACATTTTCCCTCAGAGTCCAGTCGTGTGTGGCATTCAAACAACGGCCGTCAATTTAAGAGCCTCAGTGTGTGTAGAAGCAACATGACTGCAAGGCCAAAAAGAAACGTTACACACCATATTTTAGAAAACAAGTGAGCAAAATCAAGAAAGATATATATATATCAGTGTTTATGAGGTTTATGGTACCTAAAAGTTTCATAGTTTAAGAAAATCAAAGCCAAATTTAAAGGATAATAATGATGAAATTTGATGTGAAGTTGTTGTTTTAAGTTTGCTGATAATAAAAATGACTGTTTATGCAAACAGAGCTACTCTTTCACTTTTAACTTTCCAAAGATTTACCAAGAAAAAAAGTTTGCTGTAGGTTCCTGGAAAAGCATGTTAACTCATTAATACCAATACAACTGTTGTGTATAGGTGTGTTTGTTTAGAAATAACTATTTTTTGTTGTTCATGTACACAAATAGCCACTTTTTTTTCTTGTCACTGTGCATAAATTTGTAACATATTTCAACAGGTAACAGTATCCGCTTCAAAAACTAACCTTTAATTGATTAACAATAATGCTTTTGACGAACCTAATAAAAAGTAAAATTACTGTTCAGAAACACAAGCCAGTATCTTAAGAACATAACGTCCAGATACTGTTGATCTGCTATAGATAGTTTTAAGAGCTGATGCATCTTTTCTTTTGTCCTCCACTTGTTTAGTTCCTCAAATTTTTTAAGGACACACTGCACACCATGCTGAGATATGCCAAGTTTTCAACTAAAGCTCTTTGGGAATCAGCTTGTTGGTGCAAAAATATTATTTTATGTCTGTAACTGTGTTAACTTTGGTATTTAATAAATTAAAGAAAAAGAGAAAAGAAAAGAGAGAAAGAAAAAAGAAAAGAAAAAAGAAGAAGAGAAAAAAAAGAAAAGAAAAAAAAAAGAAGAAAAAATAAATTAAAGAAATTTGAACAAATGATATATTTTTGTGACAGGCTGCTAGTAACAAAGTGCCTAAAGATGCTATTTGAAATTCATTCTTTGCTAAGTTGTCTGATATTTGTAGACACAACACTGGATCGAGGCAGCACGGTGGTTAGTACTGTTGCTGCACAGCAAGAAGGTCCTGAGTTCAATTCCACCATCAGGCCGGGGTCTTTCTGTGTGGAGTTTGCATGTTCTCCCCGTGTTTGTGTGGGTTCCCTCCGGGTACTCCGGCTTCCTCCCACCGTCCAAAGACATGCAGCTTGTGGGGATAGGTTAATTGGATAATTCAAATTGCCACTAGGTGTGAATGGTTGTCTGTCCCTATGTGTTAGCCCTGCGACAGACTGGCGACCTGTCCAGGTTGTACCCGCCTTTTGCCCTATGACAGCTGGGATAGGCTCCAGCGCCCCCCGCGACCCTGAAAAGGATAAGTGGAAGTGAACGGATGGATGGATGGAACACTGGATCATCCCTTGAGTTAAGTGCCTTAAGTGAAAATGAGTGAAAAAGCAGCCAATATCCACAGAAAAAACTTCAGAAGGCCTAAAGATCTGTTGCTCAAGAGAACTTTATAACATTACTGGAAATTCTGGCTCCTTGGAAGCAAAAATATAAAGAAATGTTTCTCAAGACTTTTGCACTGCAGGTTATTTTGCAATGGCATGTTACAGTTTGTTTCTGTTTGTAGACTTCTGATTGGCCAGTGTTTCTGTATCGCCACCTGTTGCTATGGCATCTTGACAATGCTTAACATCATTTTTTTGCATTTCATGTCGATAGACCTTTCAAACTGAAATTGAAGATCGCAGTTTTTTGAAAGATACCTGTGTACACGATGACTTATTAACAGCAGAATTCAGCAATTTGTTGTTCATATGTGTTAAATCTCTATATCTGATGTGTCTAATATTAATCAAGCATTCTTGCATCTTCTAAAAAGAAGCAGAGAACACTAAGTGTTTAACAACACTTAAGAAAAGACCCTTTGGCTGTTGCAGTTCAATATAAAAGTTATTTCTAGGCTGCGTTGGTCCTGCCAGGCCCTGCTGTGGAAACGAGGACAGGTACGAGCGTTTTAGGCCCTTATCTCCACAGCGACAGACCCCCCGAGGCGTCACGCTCGCTCCTTCCCATGCTCCACTCTGACATTGGGCTGATAAGACACTCCCTGGTAACGCACACAAACATCTCGGCTGGTTCACTGTGTTTGCAGGGTGTTTGTCCCACAAACTGGATGTTGAATTTTAGTGTCCTTAAATCTAAATCTATTAAAAAAATGATTATGCATGTGATAAGATTTTTGGGGCTGGTTTAAATTTGTTATTCAAGCAAAAATAATGGTGCAATTATACAATTTATAAGGCAATTATTTTGTGATTAGTGGGGCAATCAGCTGCTTTTCCAGTGTCCCACTGAGTTCTGCACATGGACTCCAGCTCCAGTCTGTGCAGACATCATGACCAATACAGATCCTAATGAAAAAAATCTTTGATAGGCATTAATCACCGTGATAATCAGACATCGGACACAGACATGTGCAGTGCTCATATACAGAATAGTCTTGAATCATTATGGAATGCACTGTGTGAAATGTAACCATCACATTTACAAATACACGATAATCTCTACAGTACCTGACATTAAACTGAAAATAAAAAAATCTTTGTCATAACACTCTGGATCCTCCTGTAGGTCATCTTTGTCATCTGTGATAAATCAATACACCCACCAGTGCACAGGAGAAATAACAGCTGTAGCTAAACCGGCAAATTGCTCTTTCAAGATGTCAACAAATCCTGTAGCGCACCAACTCTTTTGTATTTGTTTTTGATTTATTCATAAGAAATAACTATACAAATGCGAATATTTTATTATAACTGTAATCCTGTGTAGCAGAATTAGATTAATATAAAATATAAATCAACTAATCTCTTTATGAACACTGTTAAGATTTTGAATAAACACATATACAAACTTATCAAACAAATTAAAATAATAATAAAAGTGTAAAAAAATATTTAAGCAGCAACAACAGACAGCAGATAGATGAGTGATGTTTCCCTGTGGTCTACTTATGCTATATTCATGTTTATTGAACAAATGTTATGGTGAAATAAAATAAAAGACAATTCACACATTTTCCAGGCACATACCCTTGGGTCCTATCTTGGTCACAAGGTCTGAAAAAGGAGAGGGGCTTGTTCCTGACAAAGGGGGCACTGTTGCGTGAGCGTTCATGCTGAAGTGACCTGTGAAGAAACAGCATGATTTATGAATAAAATTCTTCTTGCAGTTAAACTGATGATAATTTCATTTACAGCTAGTGCAGCTAATTTCCTACAAATTTTCCTCTTAATTAGCTGCATTTTCGCTGCAATATTTTAGTTATTTTACGCTGGACCATCTGCTGATGTAATCTCTCCAGCATGTCCTGGCTCTGGCCTGGGGCCTCCTCACGTAGGACGTTCCCACTCTACTCTGAGCCCTTTATTAAAGACCGAGCTCCTCACCGTCTCTCTAAAGTTGATCCCAGCCACACTTTGGAGGAATGTCATTTCAGCTGCTTGTATGTGGGATCTCATTCTTTAGGTCACAACCCACAGCTCGTGATGATTGGGGATATTGGTTTGATTGGTTTATTGTGTTATTAATTCTCATTAAAATCTATTTATTTAGCTTTAAGCAATAAAGGCCACAGAAACTATTCTGTTAGGCTTAGGTGTTAAAAACTACTTGTTCAGGAGGTAAGAAGTAGTTTTAAAGTTTTGCTGACTGTCAAGAAAGAAAAAGGACATAAACATGGCTAAACATCATGGATACAGTTTATATGGCCCCCTGGATTCTGGCAGGCTAATCCCTGGTCAATCCTTGCTGTGCATTTTAATGTCTTGTCAGGGATTTAAATGCTCTCTCCTTCTGAACATTGACATAGATATGTGTTTCCAGCAAATATAAACTAGAAATTGTTGAGACGAGCATGAGAGAAATGGCTACAGGCCTTACATAATACTTTGTGTTGCTTCCACCCATTGAGTCTGACTCTAATGACACTTTACAGATGTGCACTCGTAATCAAGATCAAGTCTGAAGATGCAGTGCAGTCTGGGAATTTTTGTAAGTTCAGTAATCATTGGCTAGAACTTTGTGATGACGATGGACGTAGTGGCTGCTTAACGGACTGATACTTATGGAAAGGAGTGTTTTACTACCAACCCCATTCACCATCCAAACACCTTCATCCAGTACTTTATTCTGTTATCATGGGTACTCAAACAGTCTGATAGATGCATTGGGAGGAACTGGGGGTTCAGTGTCTTGCTTAAGGACACTTTGACACATATGCTGTAGGAGCTTGGTATCCAATCACTGACTACCTGATGGATGGGTGGATGGATGGATGGCCCACTCTACCTCCTGAGCCATAGCTTCCTCCTCAACCTTAGTGAGTTTGGTATAATGATGATGATCAACAAATTTCTGTCTATTAAAAAAGTGACCCAGATTGTTGAATCAAGAGTTCAGGTTTAGAGATGCCTCAGCATCCTCTGAACATGGGTATTGATTTTGTTGACTGCAAAGCCAATGACCAGTGTTCATCTGTTTTTGTTCAACTTACCTTGTGCTTGTTTGTTTCCCTGACACCAAAAAAGCAACATTGGTACCAGGTCAGACTTTCATTTTCTTGCCTGACATCTTTACAGTCTTGTCAGTGCACACATTAAGCTTTTCCCACCACAAACAACACCCTAACTTGGATCCTAACATATTAGAAACTCAATACACAAAGGTGCCTGAAATAATGTTCAGTTTTCATTTTATCCCATTACCTCATGTGACTCCTTGAGGCTTACGATCAGGAAATTTTTAAAGAAATGTTATGAGGAGCATATCCAGGAAATAAGCCGGAAACCCAAACCAACAGTTGTATAACCCTTCCTTTTAAAGTGATTAGTGTTAACTTATTGTATCGTGATCCCCTCAGGAACTTTTTTCTCAGAGCCAGATTTGAATTCTCTGCCAGATGTTTTGACAGCAGTGAACTAAGTTTGTGTCTGCAAGTGAGAAATCTAGTCAGCATCTCCAATTGTGTCAGGGTTTTTCTGACCCGGTGAACATTTCATTTGCAAAATGCTCCATCTTAGCACATTTCACCACACAATAGAGCCTTTCAAGGGAAATCCATTTTTTCCTGACTCATGAACTCGAGGTGTCGCACTAAAATGCATCCAAAGCGTCGACGTTTGCCTCCATAAAAAGAGTCATGCTTCGGGTAAACAGCTGCAGAGCATTAAAGTGTAATGCACAAATATGACACTTTAATCACCAGGTTATTTGAGTTTAATGCTCTCTAAACATCCCTAACTGAGGTGCCTAAGGTTTTTATTTATTTCCACTAAAGCAGTACGTTAGTTTCACACATGCAACTTTTAAAATAAGTGAGAACAGATTGTTGACCACTGACTATAACCTGAAAACAAAGTGCCCAACAGTTTGTTTGCAGAGCAGCTCGTTCTGCTCAAAGCAACACAAAACCACAGCAAGGATTTTGACATAAAGACAAAAAGAAGCTCACCAGTTTCTGAGAGTCAGCAGGCAACTCTTCTTACGCCGACAGAGTGTACGTTGGACAACACACACAATTCAAAACACACACAAACACACATACGGATGGGTGTGGTGTCAGTCCCCAGGGTCGAGATCTGTTCCCCCTCTGGCCAATAGCGGAGCTGACTCCACCTCTCTGATCCTAAACAGCCTGCAGATGTCTGAGTGCATGCAGCTGACAACGCCTCTTGCATCATCTGTTAACACACAGAGGAGCACTTCAGTGTGTGTGTGTATGTGTGTTTTTGTTGTTTGGCCCTTGTGCACGTCCTGTGCTGAATAATCCTAACCTTCAGCCTGGTTATTAATGTGAACCGTCTTCTTTTAGACAAATAAAGATGGTTTCTTAACAAGAAAATGGTGTTAGTTTTTTGCCTTCCTGTTTTACTTTGAAAGTTAGTCTTGCTTTGGTTTGACTTCCTGCTTTTGTTCTTTTCCCTCCTTTGTGTATGTCAGATTGTTTTGTTGCCTTCCTGTGTTCTGTACTTGTGGTCTTGTTTTGTACTTTTGGAGTTTGTCTTTCTTGGTTGCCTTCAGTTCTTATACTAAACTATATATCTAGCACTTTTTTGTTATATGTTTCATTACATTTTTCTTTTGTGGAGTTTGCATGTTTTCCCTGTGCCTGCATGGATTTCTTCCAATAGTCCAAATACATGCATATTGAATTAATTATGGATTCAGTGCAGGAATTGATGGTTGTCTCCATCTGCACTGTAATAGACTTGCACAGCATACTTTCATCCTGCTGTGTCACATAATGCCACCAATGCTATTCAAGGTGTATGACTATCCCTGTCAGTATTGACCATCAAAAAATGTTTGTTAGGAGGTTGAAGGAGTGGTGGAGTTAAGAGGCATTTCAGCCGTTAGTACCTCTGACCTTCATTTATGTTCACTTGTTGGTTAGGTTTAGACACTAAAAAGTACTTGGTTAGGTCTGTTTGGTATTAAAACACACCATTAGACCATTAATCTTTGACAGAAATCTTGCCATCTTGCTAATGCCACAACCCAACATCAAAAATGAGACCTAATAGTGGCTGTTATGCTACAGTCACACTTGGTAAAACAGTTGCTGGGATAGCATGACCAATATTATTACTGAACACAATGAATTTGGGAACTTGTTGCCTTTGAAGTGGTTGCTTTAAAGACAACCACTCACAGTTAGTTGCCATCTTCAAAGAGAGTTTGGTTTGCTGTGATGAAACGGCAATAACATGAAGTCAGTCTGTTGTCAGTTTGTAATTGAATGGGGTCAAGTTGCCAATCGGTTTGTGGCAATGCAGCGATTGACTGTGATAAACTCTGTCGCTGTCTGCATATACAGAAATTATCTACTCACATCTACAGTCCAGCCACAACCTAAAAAATCCGAAACAGAAATTCTTGCATAGTTTCTGCAGGACAGTTATTTAACTGCAACATGACATAGGCATTCACAATTCTAATTTTTTTTATTCGAATATACCCAGAATACAACCAGTTGGCAACCAAATCCCCTGTTGCACCGTGTTTTTCTTGGTACCAAGGATGTTGCTATCCGATTTTTACTCTAGTAATAACAAACAGCTTCCGTCGATGATAAAGGGAATGATTAGTTTGATGTATTTTTCTTTTAAGCTCACACTTGTGATGAATGAGTTTTGATGGCTGTTCTTGAAGGAGCACGTACAGATCACCAGAATTTCTTGGACTGTTATAACTGTGAACTGCTGATCAAAAGAGGTTGTGGACTTCACCTGACTCTCCTTCATATTTGTATCTTATTTTATTATTTGAAGTATTTCCATTAAACTTTAAGAAATGTTGGACTTGTTTAGCGATCCATTCATGTTCTGATGACCTGTCATGTACCTCATCATCATCCCAAAATCAGCATGAATAGACTCCATCACCTAAGAGACCGTAAATAGATGAGCCATTAAGAAAATGAATGGATGCTTTAAAAAACTGTCATAAAGATGAAACATGCTGATTAAGGTGCACTCTAAAGAGAAATATCCACTGATGCCACTTAATTTTTATGACTCACACTGAGTCATATTTGTGCTGCAAATGTGAAGTTACAGGAATAAAATACTAAACATTTCTGTGCCTCAGAAAAGACTAACCACTGGACCATTTAGTGTATTTATTTAAATTTCACTATGTTTTAGTTCAGTATTGGTCTCAATAAGTCTTAAAAAAGCTTCTCACATTTCCTTAAAAAAACATCTTCTAAAAAAATGTGCTAAAAGGACAAACTGAACTTCAGTTTTTCCTGAATAGCCTCTTTGCTAAACAGGAAAGACCTGCAGGCCAGTGACATTCGAAACACTAAAAGAGCACTGTTAAACTAAACGGCTACAAGTATTTCGTTGTCAGGGCTCTCTGAATACTTTTTTGTTATTGTCACCATGCTCACTTTGGCATAACACAGATATACTAGGAGTAAAACCACAGAGAAAAACAACATATGAGCTTTTAATGGTTGAGCAACTCTGCAGAACTGCTATGTAAATATTACTGCAGTGCGTCTCTGAATTCTTCTGACAGCCACCCAAGATAAGAATAAACAGCCTTCTTTGTCCCCTTGCTACAGAGATATTGACTAAGTCACAAACTGACCATTTAATTAAATTCGTATCACCAACGTCCAAACAACCCAACATTCAACATGTCATGATGCACATCCAACAAACTCTTCTGTTGCACTGTTTAACTGATCATTTCTACATCTATAATGATTTAGATTTGCTTCTCATGCTGAATACATGTAAACCTACAAAGAGCTACAGCAACTACAAGCTAACATTTAAAGTCAGTTAAAAGTAATTTTAATTACTTGCCTACCAGCAACTATTTTAAGATACGTATTAGTCATTTTAACCATTTTGACCTCGATGTAATTTTTACCAAAACATCAAATAAACGTAGATGTAAATAACACATAAAACATGTAAAATCTACAGTTTTATTAAACACTCTGACTTCAAACTATTGAAAGAGGTTTCCAATGTGACGTCTAAATGAAAACTCACAAGCCATTTTTGAATGTCTTTATGGGCCAATTAAAAGTTGAATTTTAAAATCTGATAGCCGTTTAGACCTTTAAGAGGGATAGACTGTTTGAATTTCATTATCTTAATAGCCATTTTTCAGATTTAGAGATTTTGAGAGCAAATGAAAAAAAAGAATAATTAGACAGAAAACTACCAGCATTTTTTTTTCTAACAAGAAAAAACAAGTCGACAATATCAGGGGTTAAACAAAGCAGCAGCTACAGTGGCACAAAGCACCAAAAAATAAATAAAATAAAATCTTCGCATTGCCAATCAAATAAGATTTAAGGCTCCTACTATCTTTGTGAGTATGTTTGATGGTATACGCAGTTTCATAAATGAAATCGTTTTAAGAATATGCTTAATGTTGATTCGCATTTAAGCAACTTTCTCAAGATTTAGTGGTCATTGATGACTTTTGACCTAATAAACTCATTAAAGTGTCTCCAAAAGATGACTATAGCAACTTTACACAAACCTAAAATTTACTTTTAAAATTTGATATCCACTTTATCAGTTTAGTGGCTTTGTCGAATTTTAAAAATGTAAGGAATGATTCAGAAGACAAATATTAAAAGAACTAGATGATAAAATCCTTTTTAGGTGCTTTTCAACACCTGTGAAGTCTCTAAGTAATTTGAGTTTAACAACGGAGGAGCTAGAACACTTTAAACTCTCTAGCCAAACTGAACCTTTTACAAGCCAATGTAATATTTTTTTGTGTGCCTAAATTGCTGCATTCAGTATTTGCTATTTTATATTTATCTCCAAATCACTATGTTGTGAATTTTAACAAGCCCACAAACAAATTCAAACTATGATAGTATGTAAGATTAAAAACAAACCAATAGTGTTCTTCAGATTCTTGATTGATTCCTAAAGCTATGAAACTTTTTCAGTTTCAGCGCTTTATTCAATTTTCAGGAATGGATTGAGCTCGGCAAACAAATCCCAAACCCATCTGCTGTTTAAGTGCTTTTAAAATGAAGTCCAACTTACCAGGTACTTTCCCCCAACTGCTATACAGTTAAAGTTAACAAACGAGGTGTTAGAATAGCTCATACTCACAAGCCATTTTTAAAACTTTTACTAGCTAACTTTTCTCCCCCTCATGCCTCACTTCCCTCTTTTAAAGTTTCACTATCTGCAATATTTCCCCCCTTTACACAATTATTTGACTCCTAAAATAGCTGAGTTATCTAACTTTAAGTCAACTTTCTCAACTTACTGACTATCCAGAATCTCACATGCAAAATCTTAAATGACTGTTAGTCTCTTAGTAACTGACTAGCCCACAATGCAAACTGCAAATATTTTCAAAATGTGATATTCAGATAGATTTTTTAAACCATGGATGCATTCTTGTGGCTGCTAGACTGAACTAACTTATTAGCTACTTTCTTAGTTTAGTATTAAAGATTTTTAAGATTCATCACTGTCTGAACAAACCTATTCACTAGCTATTCAGGAGCTTTTAATATAAAGCTCAGCTTACAACATATATTTCCAAACTATGATACTGTGAAGTACTGAGCTGCAAGCCACTATCAAAACGAAGCCCTTCAGGCAGTTTGTAGTTTGAAAAACATTCTTTTAAAAGCCGTATTGAAGAACTTTGTGTTTGTCATCATTTGTCTGACATACTACTTATACTACGACTAAAGCAACCAAATACTGTTACTTATTTAATGCCCCTAATGATCAATTTCGGTTTAACAAAGGACCCACAAGTCATTTTGAAACTTTTACTAGCCAGTTAGTTAATTTATTATATGACATCAAACCTTAACGTTGCTTTCAATATTTGATAGTCAATATTTCATTTAGTCAAATAACTGCCTAAAGGGGGCTCTTTAGTTAGTTATTTGACTCCTAAAGCAGTTAGCTTGATATGGTCATTCAGGGTTTTACATGCAAAGTCCCAAACTGACAGTTTGTGGCTGTAAGATTGATTTAGCAGTCCATGATGTAGTATATAAACAACTTTTATAATTTCACTGCTAGAACAGCAGCCAAATGTAGCAGCCATTCTCCAAAACCTGTAACATATACAAAGCTTTTGCTTATACAAAGTGATGGGAAATGATAAAGAGTACGGGGATAAAGGTGTAACATGTATTGATTGATAAATGGTTGGCTTTGGTGGCCAAACATATAGTGAAACACTTTTAAGATTTGTTCTGCTTGAGCTACTTTAGTTCCTCCTTTTGTACCAATCTTTGCCGCCATTTTGAAGACTTTACATGCCATCTAGAAATGAAAACACAAACGAGGCTGATTTCAGACACTAGACTGGAGCTTTTTACCAGCCACCAGCCACGTAATGGTGGCTGGTGGCTGGATTGTGTTTCCTCCACCCTGCGCTGCTGTGAGGGCATCAACAGTTTGTGCGTTGCTAGGCTTCTGCTTCTTTATAATGTACTGTGGCTCCCCTTTGTCTTCCTGCCCGCTGCCACCTCCTTAGTCGTGCTCGTCCTTGAAAAACTCGTGGCAACAGACGGTAACTACGGAGATGAATGTCATGAACTCCTGAAAGTTGCACTCGGCGTCGCCGTCGGTGTCCAGGCTGTCCATCAGGCTGTCCAGCGCAGCCTGGTCGTTCACATGCTGCAGGGAGGGAGGACGGGTTCAGCTCGGGACAACAAAACTCCAAACTGGTGCTTAACAGTTTATGTCATATGCTTTTAAATCTCAATATATATATATATATA